ACCCAGATCCTCCAGCAGAGACCGCTCCACCGTGGACAGACCCAGATACGGCTTCACCTGCAACCTTGGACCTGCAGTCTGGAGCTCCAGAGGGAGGAGGAGAGCTCAGCTCCCGGCATCAGCAGCAGCGCCGCCTCCTCCTCCTCCTCCTCCTCCTCCAGGAGCAGAGCTTCTCCTCTCTGGGAGCCAACACCGACACCACGCTGCTGGAGACCCAGGAGGTATTGCTGGACCCGCTGGAGGGAAGGGAGGCACGGGAGAACCAGGACTAGGACTGAGAGGAGCAGACTGTCAGACCCTGCTGCAGTAAATTGAGAGGTTTTCTCAAGGGACTCTGGTGATCTGAAATACTACCACTTTAGTCCACAGGGAGCGCCACTATCAACACAAAATGAAAGTTCCTCGTAGTAACTTCAATCTTTATATAATTGGCCCACATTTGGGAAAGTATTGAAGTAAGATGTTGCTGTTTGTACTCGCAAACAGACCTTTAGGATTTAAATATCCTCCATGGATGATTTTAACTGATATTTTTTATCGCCACTACCCAAATGTTACTCGCCTCCTTAACTCTGCCAGGTCCACCTGATGATGTCTTTTCAAGGCTGGCTGCAGGAGGACAGAAGCCAGTAGATAGGGTATCTGGCCCAGGCCTGCAGCCAGCTGTGAACCTGATAGCATCTGTTTTAAACGTTTGAGAGACGGAGAGAAAGGAGCCCTCTTTTCTTCTGAGTTCTGGAGCGCTAATTATCTCACGCCTTTTTAGTAAAGGGATCCACAGATGGCCCCGCGTCCTGACAGTTATACAAATGTGATACCGCCAGTCGAGGTATTCCTCTTGGCTCCTCTTACTGTGTTACTGTAGGCCCACAAGTGGGACTCGTTCACGCTCAGAGTAAACAAGACAAGTCAGAGACAAAAAGAGTCCTGCTTTTCTCAAGGCGAGGCAGAAAGGCTTCTTTTTTATCTTTGTGAAGGCAGACAAAACAACCTCTTCACACTTGAGTGTGTCCTCTGTTTGGGAGTTCTTCCCATCCATTGTCATCACGTGTTATCTGAACCATCAGAATCAACATGAAAAGATCATTTCATGTTCTGCTGTCACCCGAGGGGATTTGGACAACTTGCCTTTCATTTGCTTTGTCTGAATCCGGTGACAAAACCACTTGTCATCCTTTTCTTGTTGGTTTTTTTCCAGGTTATGTCTGGTTTGGCCTGACTTCAAAGACCTGACAAGCAGACAGGAACAAGTCTTTAGATTGATGTGGTTGGAGTATCCAAGGACTATTTTCTTCTTACTCATAGAGTTCTAATCAGAAATCAGTGTTTGGATGATAGAGAGCCAACCTGTCGCCCTCACATCCAGAAGTTTCCTTTTCTCGGCTGTTGTGTTCATACTCTGTGCCTTTTTGTCGATAAAATTGAAAAGAATTTGGCATTCAACCAGGTGGCAACCTCCGGTTTTGCCGAGTGAAGACCTCGGTAAACATTGTAAACATGAGTTTATGGTCTCAATCTCTAGTTTCAAGTCTTCTTCAATACAGCATGATGTTCATTTAGTAACTTATGGTCCATTTAGAGTCAAACAGACCATAAAGCAGGGGATGCTTTAGGGCGGGGCTACAGTGATTGACAGGTCTCTATTAGAGACGTATAAGGCGTCTCTACGTCACTCCTCCTCATTCCAAATATGGTCACTTCTGTTCATTGGTTGCAAAAAAACATGGCGACGGACGTAATCCAAGATGGCGACAGCAAAATCACTGAACTCGAGGCTTCAAAACATCAGTCCACAAAATAATGGGTGACGTCACGATGACGACTTGCACTTCTTATAATACAGTCTGTGCATTCAACAAGGTCTTGGGTCTGAGTGTCAGTAGGCTAATACCCAACCAGACTTGCTCTCAAGTCTGATCATGTAGTACATCAAGTCATTGCAACATAAAAAAGTGTGAATTTCAGGTGTTATTGGTGAACATAATGCTGCTGGCGTTTTATCTCTGTGAGGGTCGGTTCAGGTTGGCCGCATTTTGGATCGGGTCCTATTGTCCTCGGGTCTACTTTAGACCAGATTTTCTTTAAAAAGAAAGATTCCTCTATTCATGTTGGGTTTTGGATATATGGGTCCGTTTCAGATCTGGTTCGAAGACCTCAACATCAAGGCACTGGTTTTCGGGTGGTTTTACTGTTGAAAGGGAGAACTAGTAATGTTGGCCTTGTACGTTTCTGCAAACCACAGATGAGGCAACAAAAGAATTAATTACAAACAGAAATTACAGTTTAATTAATTCTTACAAATTAGAATAAGTATGTTACTTTTAGTTTTACATGGGACACGAACACCGGCCTCCTTTTGATCAAATGTGTTTGTGATTCGTCACATATAAACGTAATCCCGGAGAAAAAAAACACTCACAATGCAGGTTCATCTAATGCTAACGTAATCTTTAGGAGACCAGGCTGCTTACAGCCAGTGGGATTGATTGGTCCATCAAACTGGCGATAATTAAATAGGTAGCAGGATTGTGGGAAATGATGTTCTTTAAAACAAACTAAAAACATCAAACTTTTTAAAGAAAGAAATATTGAAAATTAAATAAACATTGAATTTGTCTTTTTTCCGACTCTAATCAAGTTAACTTTATTTACATACATCCTCTTTGGGGCCCTCTTTTTGTCTTTACTTGAGTTTCCCCCCTTATTTGTTTTAACCCCATAAAGGTTCTTAACTATTCACACAACTTATAGCGTTTTAACTCCACATTTCATGTCATTCCAAGCTACATTCTTGGCCGGACTGTAGGTGTGCTGGAACGGAACTGAGACTAAGTCGAAGGATTCAGCTCTGAGTCCCACGCACTGATCGGAGCAGGATATTCTGTAGACGGCCCACCTCGGCGAGCACCGGGCCCGTCGCAGGACGACTTTAGTGGGATTCGTTTCTGATTTGAAGCGTATAACACGAGCTTTTGTATTTCAAAGTGGGATGATTTGTAACCGATCCCCTCTATCTGTCCACTTTTAACAAGTGACATTGGCCCTCCTGGCTTTTACTCAGGAGGAGCTTGATGACCATGATTATTTACGCAGAGGGTTTCCTTCTTTTTCGCTCTCTTCTTTCTTTTACAGTCGGCCATTTTCATAAGGGATCATAATCCTCTTGGACAGGAAGTATCTGGCTATATAGACTACGCCCACAGACTCAAGACCCAAGATTTTGAACCATACTTCAGCGGAAAGAAGAAGCTCATGCCAGGACGCTCGGATTTATGGTAAGTCTCCTTCCATTGTAACATGTCCACGTCGATTGGGGAGGCCGTGACTTGAGTGGGTTTTGACAAGATTTGAAGGGTAAGGAAATGTTATTATGCAGGATTAAAGCCTCAGGTTGACGTGAGAGACCGATGTAGGCTTGGAAGGAGCTGAGCAAAGGGCCGGTGTAGTTAAATATATAGCACCAGCCCTCCGTGGCCTCAGCATAGATGTGGAATAAATGTACACTTCTGAAGTAAAGCTGAGCAGAGCTGCCAAAGTGCTGAACCTGTCTGACAGACATGAATCAGAGTCAGGACCCAGGCGGGCTTCAACCGTGAGATTGTCCTCGCCTTTCAATGTGCAGTAAGTTTGTCATCACAGATAAATGTAATATATCGTATGGCCATGAGGATTAGACACATCGATACCTGGGACTCAGGGCAATGTTCCACTATTCTCTGACACTTTGCAGGCCGAAGGGTCGATCGAGAAAGATTAATCCATAATGAAAATGATTATTAGTTGCAGCACTTGACGGGTGTTTCCATGTTTCCATGCAGAGTTAGAATGACAGTTGGTTTGCCAGAAGACGCCAGTGTGAAATCCACTGATACTTTAAAACATGTCCCAAATGAATGCGACACAAGTGAGCGTCAGCGACCAAATCCGTTTGTTTGCTTGTTTTGAGCGGCGCTGCGATTTGAGTGGAACTTTCGTCAGACGCCATATTTTTACTTTTTCCTGTCGCTCACTTTGAAAGCACCGCTGTGGACAGGAAATGGCTGATTCTTAAAGTTACATTATAAGAGTTATATTTACCATAACTCCTCATTTCATTAGAAAAACCTAATTAAGGTGGCAGCTGACTGGACGGAGATGGCCATCGAGCTGAAAGCTTCCTACTCGCATTAGCCTAAATATCACAAAATATAAAATGTGTTTTCTGTTAAAAAGTATAAACTCACTTGCTGTTAGGACTCGGTGGAGAAGGCCACTAGAATTTGAATATTCTTGAAAGTCGCAGTGTCTAAAAAGACACTTATACTAGTGGAATAAATGCTATAATCCCATAAATAAATCTACACATTGCTGCTGTTAAAAAAAAGAAAGTTTTCAGGTGCTTTAAACCAGCACATTCAGCCAAGATACATCCCGTACTGCATGTTGAACAACTACACGCATCGCTGCCAGTCGCACAACTCCAGGCCAAGCCACAAGTGAACTGCTGACCTTACAGGTGTAAGCTAAAACTCTAGTCCCTCTTTCTAATTCATTGTCTATCCGGAGAGCTCCGCCTGTACATAGAGAGCTGTCAGCAAATTACCGGAGCCAAAACCATTCCCACATTCCACATGCTCGTGCATAGTAACATATTATCAACATTTCAGATACGTGCGAAAAATCCCATGAAGACCAACACGACTAGACGAGGGGAGTAATGAGAGTGAGTAATACATGGTTGTTTTCAGGGTTCAGCCAAATGACACGCACCCTGTGTAACCTCGCTGACACTGGGCAGAACATGCTCTCTCATGTCCTTCTCAAGTAAATTAGGTCTTTTGTCTTTCCTCCACCATCATTCCTGTTTGGTAGGACTTCAGCTTTTACTCTCCAGCGTAAATCACGGCCGAGTCACGCTTTACAACAGAGGCCATTAGGGCGAACATTACAATAGGTTGTACACAAATCCACAGCTAGACCATAATATCTCATTTATACAGAGCATACCTGCAACTACTGCAACGTATCCTCATACAACAGTTCATATGATATCCTATGAAAAGGTACACCTCAGAAACACGTGTCAGTTTCTGCTCTTTCCATGCATGCAGTCTTTTCAAAATACATTTTCCGTCTTCACAGAAAACCGCTCAGTTAGGTTTAGGCAACTAAACTACTTAGTTATGTTTTGGAAAACACACGGCACGTTATTATCCGTAGGTATAGCTCCGAATGCTGGATGAGACCAGCTTGTTTTACTTCAGCATTAGCAGGACAACAGTTTTTATTTGTGGAAGTGGTTTTCCCTTTCTTTGTAACCAAAGTGTCAGACATGCAAAGCTTTATTGTTTTTATTTATCCATTTCTCAACCATGTGTCCTGACACACAAACCCCGCTTGTGGCCTTGAACTCGGCCTCCTCTCCGCCAAGTGGAAGCCCTAACCGGCCGTCGGTGTGAGTCATTGGGCGAGCATGCCTGGAGGTACAGCCGACTAACTAATGATGCTTTTATGAGGCTCCCCCCCACACGGGTCTCCCTCCATCTGACTTCACACTCCCTCTCTCTGTCTCTTTATTCACACACTAAACTCTGCCGGGATTTGCGCATCTCTCTGTCTTCATTTTCAACTTTTCTAACCTTCCATGCTGTGCTACCTCTCCCCTTCTCAACCCCCCCTCCCCCCCCACACACACACCCTCTCTCTCTTTTTTCATCTCTGTCGGGAACAATAACACCCAGTGTGGTTGCCGCTAAGAGGGAGCAGATGCTGGAGCTGCTGCCCACTCAGTGCACTAAACCTCCCACCGCAGGACTCTGAATCCTGTCCCTCCTCCTCCTCCACGGCCACAAAGAACACAGAGCAGCGACACCAGCGCCAGCTCCGGCCTCCACCTCCAGCGAGGAAGGGTGGCTAGGTTCACGTCCACAGTCTGCAATGTCTCAAGGGGGGTAGGAGGAAAAAAAGAGCAGGAGAGCAAAGTATCCCCCCGGAGCAAATTATGTAAATGGAAAAGACAAGAGGTAGAACTTAGTTCGGAGGGAAATGTTGATAATGTAAAATGTAAAACATGCCTCTGCTCCAGCGTTATGGTGAGGAAAACCAATCTTTACTTTCCAACTTTCTGTAATTGACTTGAAAGCCTTTTGCAAAATGAGAAAAGCACAAACTGGATGCTGAAGACTAAACACATCAAGCTTTCTTCCTTTGACTGATTGACGTTTTAATTCATTCCCTTTTTAAGTTCAGGACAGGATAATGTGCAGAAGATTTTTTTGATCATTTTCCCTCCATTATTTTCTACCTTAATCTGACTCCAACTTAAAAATACATGTGTACTTTTTGACCATATCAAAATTCAGTTTGTTGCGATTTTACGTAGGTTGCAAAAATAGGAACTACAGCTTCCTTCAGACTTTTGTCCTTAATGGACTTCTGTGCTTGTGTCGTTTAACCAGGTTGAGTCTGAGACAGTTGCACTCACTTCTATATTTAGATTTTTACATATTTCAGTTTTTACATCATGTTCTCAGTCACCTCCAGGATCTTTGCATTGACTCTATGGGAGCAAAAGTCAGTAGAACGCTGGGCTTGATTTATTCTAGCAGGCCCACCGGGTGGGTGGGACATATCAACATCATTTGTAAAAGCATATGTTTTAATCCTCTGACCTCCTGGGAAACCTGGTTTAAGTAAAGCGTTTTCTTTGTTGCATCTGTAGCAAGTTTACAGCGAAGAAGCTGCTAATAACACAAAACCACACCACAAAAGAAGCAATAATTGGTAATAATAGGACTAGAACTTAGCTTTTCATGACAATATTTTGTAAATACTGATACGTGGAGATAATTGACATAAAAAATATATTTCAAAGATATGAATGACTGTAGCTTCATAAGACTTTATGTGACTGCCTCTAAAAGACAATAACTTGCAGATGCACATGTGAATCTGGTCTGTTAAAGTTCCTTTAAAGTTTTAGTTGGGTATAATTTAAACAACTGTGGTGCCAGTACCAATACCAGTACCTTAGTGCAACTGATCCCAATATAGTACAATTACAAATAGTCACTTTTTTTCTAGATCTGGGCACAAAAAGGGTTGATTGCTGCTGGTTTGACTGGAGAAGTTTTCGAGAATACGCTGTCCTGATTGATTTCGGTTGATACCTTTAAGGTATTGAGAACAGATACCCAGCCATATTTAAAGGTGCTGAATTCTAAATTCAGAGCGTAGCTTTGATTGAGAGATTGTCCTCCCACGCGGCGGAGCAGGCAGTGTTTACCTCAGGGGCAACCGGAGGGTGGTGGCGTTACACTTCTGCAACGAAGCTGTAGATTGGGGCGCCTTTATCAGCTGTAACCGCCGTATGAGAACAGTACTGAGCAGCGACCGTGAGCACGCCGACTCACATGCACTACTCACATGCATGCGCGGCCCGGCTATGTAAACAAAGCACAGAGAAGCTCGGATTACAACACACACAGATGTAGAGTGTCTTCATTCTCTGCTGAGGTACGAAATACTCCACGATATCTTACATAGACAATAGTTGTTTGCTGCTTTGTTAATGTTATGAATATTGAATTTAGCAACTTCACCTTCAGGGCAAACTGAGTGAAGCCTTTAATTAAACTTTAACTAATATCACATTTAGGGTAAATAAACTGCTTAAATTATAACATATCAAGTGTTTAAAGGTTAAATCTTTATTACATTTTTGTCTCCAATACTTTTTACTGAGCTTCCAACATGCACACACACACACACACACACACACTCACATATGCACACACTAAAGTCCTAACCCTCATCTAATTATCCCACAGATCTGCAGCTCCGTTCACCAGCTTCCTGCCACTCCAGATGTGCCTACAGCATCTCTGATGTCTATTTAATGTTCCCCCAGCAAAGTGACCATCTGTTTATGCACTCTGGCTGTTCCCCTCCTTCCTCTCTCTATCTCTCTCCCTCTGCAGTCTCTCTGTTTAGTAGACTTATTTTTTAAGAGGCTGGGCAACATCTGACATATATGGAAGTCCTAATTGATTATTTTCCTCTTTAAATTGTTTAGTCTCATTGAGTTTTCTGTATCCTCTTAACTACGTTATACAAATACATAGGTCCTCTGAGCAATCAAAAACATTTATTATTCAAGGAAGTGTTCTAATTTAAACAACTTTTTGACACGCTGATCATATGAAGCTTTCCTGCACACTCCCTCTGCCCTGCGTGCATTTGGCGATGGACTGAAAGCTTGAACTTGAAGGATCCGCTCGCTTGCAACACAGCGCAT